AAAAAAAAAAAATAGGATATGGGTATCTCAAGAGAAAAGAAACAGTGAGGTAGTACATCTGTAATTGGATGATTCTTTATTTCCTTTTCCGTATGAGAGTAAGGAAAAAAAAAAATTTTTTATACAGCATCTATTGTTCCTACATGATTTTTCTAGAGTATAGTATAGATGTGGCGTATATTTAGCGTTTCTTTTCTTTTTTTTTCTCTCCTCAAATATATATATATATTTATTTATATTTATGGACATTCTACATATTCTTATTGCCCTGAAGCATGGTTATTAATAGATCCCAAAATGAGTAAGTAAAGTTTATACTAAGCTCATTTGTAATGTTCCTGTACTCAATGTAAAAGAAGAAAAAAGAAAAAACAAGATATATCATTATTTGACATTTTTTGCTGTAAACATTTACATCCTATATGCTTGTTTTTTTTTTTTTGTGTGTGTGTGCTTTCTTTTTACGTTTGTAACTGTATCTGCGTATAGTCTGTGTGATCTTGGTTGTATGTGTGCTTCAAAGTATCGTGTTTTGTTTTTCCCCATTCCTTCTGTTAAAGTTTTCTTCTTTTTTTTACTTTATTATTATTATTCTCTCTCTTTCTGTTTATTCTCGGCGTATTTTCATGCTATTATTAATTATATGTATATATATATGTCTGTGTAATCCTCTCCACTTTTTATCTAATAATCCCCTTTTCTTTTTTTTTTTTCTTTCTCTCTGTGTTCTTATCATACACGCTGTAGCGTCACATCCCCATAGACGCACACAGAAGGGAACAAAAAAAAAGAAAAGAAAAAAAAAGATAATAATAATAATTATTATTATTATAAATCAAACACAAAAAAAAAAAAGAAAAGAATAGAAAAAAAAAAAAAGTAGGGAAACATGTACCTTGGCCCATGGGAAGAGTACAGAATCCTAAAGGCCATGGAGAACCTCCGTGAGAAGAATGAGCAAATGCGGGAGGAGACCACAGGGAAGACTGGAGGGGCCTCCTTTGGCAGAACAATTTGGGGCCCAGACGCCGATCGCAGTAGTAGTCATCATTTCCCTCTTAATTTAGATGCGGCAACCACACAAGATACTACTTTGGTAGATTCCATTAAATTAAGTCAAGTGAGTTCAACACCCTCCGCACCCCGAATTAGATTAAAGAAAAAAAATACAACAAAACCGAAAAAGGGTTTACGTTTCTTGATGAAAGTGCGAGATGTGGATGTGTACACGGAAGAAGATGTTGCTTCTACAACTTCGATAAAAAGTAGTGAGAGTTCGGATACATTATCCTGCAGTGATGGTACCTCGGAAGTTAGACGACAACATTCCAATTTTAATAAAACTAATAGTGAATGTGATCTTCGAGGAAATGTACGTAATACACCTCAAGTGGAAACTATTTCAAGTGGTTCTTCTATTCCAATGTCTGTGCATGTAGAACTTGGTACCGGTAGGGTTATTCGCAAACCACAACTACAGACTATTCCCAATGTATTAACTGAAGAAAGTTCTCGTTTTTTGCAGTCAAGTTCGAGTCAATCAAGAAATCGAAGTAATCAACCTCTTTTAGAGTTTATACGTGGTGCCCCATTAGATACAAAGAGTAAATATGAACGAGCAGGTCAACCTTTACTTGAACGTCAGACAGAAAAAAATAGAAAAAAAGAAACTGGTCCTAGTCAAGAGGAACTAGAACAACAAATTGAACGTAGACTTCGTCTGCAGATGCTTTATAGTGGTCAACACACTTCTAATGATTCTTCAAGAGTTGAAGATGTTAAACAAGATCAAAGAGAGAAAGAAAAAGAAAAAGAAGAAGGACAAGGTTTAAACCGTACAGAACCTATCTCATTAGTACCATGGGATGATCACTTTACCAATCCTTCAAAACCACCATTGATCTCTGCAGAAGCACCAGGTTTCCCACCTGTTGCAATATCTGTATCTATGGATGAAAAAAGGGAAAAAAAGGAAAAAAAGGAAAGATCTTCTTTACGTCCAAGTTCAGCTTTAGCACATACTAGAGTTATGCACCCTTATGATATAGGAGCTCCTATTGCACCACCCATTCAAGTACCTTTCACTTCTGTGAGAGAAATAACGACACCTTTAGGTACACCTAGTCGTATGATATATGAAAGAATACGTAGTGCTGGTAGTAATAGTAATAGTATAAATGGGAATAGTAGTAGTACTATTATTGGAAGGCCTGAAACGACTAGTCCCGTTTCATCTACGGAGAATAATCCATTACCTAATCTTAGAAGAAGAGAAACTATAGTACCATCTGCTGTGGTTTCACAAAATAATGGTACTGTTTCTATGGATTCAGGTAATGCTGCACCTTTACCAGTATCGGATACTCCTCAGGCAACAGCTGCCAATCCCCTTGATGATGATACAGTAGGTGCACTTATTAGTTGGGCTGAACAGCTGGATCCGGAGAATATCATATAAAGCACAAAAGGGGGGTTTGCGCTTACTTTTACATACTTCGTCTCTCTTTATTGTTGCTGTTGTCAATGTAAAAAAGAAAAAAAAAA